ATGTTTTCTCAATATACTACTGCTCTTTGATCAAAAGCTCTCTCTTACACACATGAATGTTTCTGGATTTGTTTCTCTAGTCAACCCGGACTAACACACAGTCTCAGAAACCCAAATGGGCAGTTCTACTCTGTCCGATGGGCCCATTATTGATCTGAATTGGCTCGATGGCCGTGAGTTTGTTTTGTTTTTGTTTTTTGGGGGTGGGTGGGTAGCTGATACTGCTCACACTACACTGGGTGACTTCTAAGGTGAGGTCTTTAAAAGTTGATACAATTTCCACCTTGCTCTTCTCTCAGAATGCTTGCCCCCACACCCAAGCCTCCATGTTGTTAGTAAGCACAGGCTACCTGGAGAAACCGTGTGAAGGCTGACAGCTCTAGCTGAGATGACAGTAAAAACCAGGTTCAACTGCCAAATAGGTGAGCAATGCAGTTCCAGCCTTCAAGATGCCCCCACCAACACCTCTGCTTAGGCTTCCTTAGAGGGCAGATTGAAAAGCAGACTAAATGTTAGTTTGCTAAGCCAATAATTGCGGCAGGTTTGTTAGACAGCACGACATAAAGTCTTGGGCTGGTTACTTTTGCTGACCCGGCACTCGGCTTCTCTACTTGTGAAAATGCCAGAGTCTGAGTTTTCACCCCTCGGACTCGCTGAAGAAAAGCCTGTAAAGGCTTCCACTGACACGATGGCTGTGCACATGCAGCATCAGTGCCCATGCCAGCCCGTCCGCAGAGAGGAGGAGAGTGCTCATGAGGACTGCCGGCACTGCTCGCGTAGAGACTGGGCTGGAGGTGTGCACAGGGAAGCAGGGAGGCTTGGCGTGCTGGCACAGAGGAAGAACCCCACAGACAGCTAAATCACTTTCAGATGGAGTTCCCACTTGTTCACTGCTTTTTATTGACTGACACGGAGTCCTCATCATGCTCTGGGCTGTGACCCACCCGCTTCTCTGCACAGGATCACAGAGGAAGCACAATTCATGTGGCCATTTTCCTATTGCGAGGCCGCTGCCTTATGGTTTGGGTCTCTCTATTTCCAAGAGTTTCCAAGGATGAGTGTTTGAGGTGAAGTGAAAGTGTTGCGACGTGGCTCAGCTCCTTCGGAAGTCCCCAAGTGGCGGTGAAGAGAGGCCGGGCAGGCGCTCTCTCTGGGGGCTGCCATCCCTCTGTTCACCAGAGAGCCCCGCCGGCAGCAGGAAGAGAGAGAAAGAGAGAGAGAGAGAGAGAGAGAGAGAGAATCCTGGGCTAATAAAGAGGAAGTGGCCAGCAGAGCACAGGACAGAGTGGCAGGGGCAGCTGAGGTCGAAGCAGGGACTGCAAAGCAAAGCAAAGGAGCCACGCAGAGACCGCAGGGGAACAGCCTCTCGGAGATCACTAGATGAGAAGAGAGGAGACAGCGAGGTGCAACAGCGGGCTGGTGGGCTTCCAGCCCACAGAGGCATTGTGTGACGCAAGGCTGAGGGACAGTAGAGAGGGGTGACACTGGTTGGGGAGCAGCACTGCAGTGGACCAAAGGCCTTGCTATTTAATGCTCTTGGTTTGTGGCAACCTGTTAATTTCCCTGATAAACTGTCATTGTGAGTTTTGTGTGGCTCTTGCCCAATCAGAGACATAGAGGGTGCTGGGAAGAATGGTTGGTGTCAGAGCAGATGCAAAAGGGATGGATGGACAACGTAGGCCCCGTGGCAATCAGCTTTGTGCTGATGTGGACTTGGATTCTCCTTCTTCCTACTGAGGTTGGAAAAGGCAAAATGCGGCCTTTGTACCATTTCCTCGGCACCTAGCTCAGAAGGCTGTTGTTAGAAATATTATAAATGCAATTAGAAGTGTGACGTCTCAAGCCATAAAGCAACCAGGGAGCTTTTGCAGATTTGTAGTTCAAAACGCTTAATGGCTTCTCATTCATCTTCTCAGGGTCCACACAACACGATGGCGTCTGACCTTTGACCAAATCAAGCCCACTGCTCGTCTAGTCCCCTCTGACCCACAGTGAGCCCGTAAGGCAGAGATCTGCTCCCCATGGTTTCCAAGGCTGTACACCTGGGGAAGAAGACCACCGCGCCCTTGTCCCATGGTTGTGATCACTGACCCTTCACGTAGAAGTTGAGCACTTCACCATTGTGTCACCAGGGCTTGCTCCTCTCGGGCTGATTGGTTTGTTCCTGGTTCCTAACATAGGAGGTAATTCCTGAAGAGATGACTTACCAGTCTCCTCACTGATCCATCCTCCAGCTCCTACACTAATGCCTGACACAGCATGTCGAACAGTTCATGAAAAAATGAAATGAAGGGGTACTAGACTTTTTGCCTGTATTTTTCAAGCCACCTAGTATAGGGTGGAAGAATAAAGACATTAAAACTAGTCTCTGTGAAATTCCTGAGGCTGCAGAGCTGCTGCTAGGTGGCACTTTCTTCTCAGTCTTTCTCATCTCTGTTGTTCCCCCGGTTAAAATGTGCTTACCTCAGACCCTCTATAAAAAGCAGCTCTTAACTACAGGCCATGCAAGGATTATCTAAACATACTAATTAGGTCCACGCCAAGGTCATGAGTAATATCCAACTAATCAACAGTCCAAGTAGAGTCCAGTTAAAACTTCATTACCTTATCATATCTAACTGTAGTTCAGGGTCACCGTAGCATAATCTTAGACTTGTTCTCCTCCCCTGAATTGTTCCTCCTCAGGAATTATCTTTACCAGCAGCAGGTATGCGCCAATTGCCTAGTTGTCTGTAAACCAGACACACACACACACACACACACACACACACACACACACACACGAGATCCAGGTTCTTGGTAAACCACCTCCTTCCTACCTGTGTCCGGTGCCAAATGACAGAGGCCCTGGAGTGGCCCAGCTTGTTCCGGCAGGGGCCTTTATCATAGTGGATCAGGAGGAAATCATCCTGTGAGATGCAGAGAGAGAGCAAGTGTGAGATGTCTGTTAGCAACCCCTGCCTGAGTTCTGGTCCTTTTTCCTTGGGGGCACAGTGACACCCAGGAAGAACATCTTCCCAGGAACTTCAGGGCTGTCTCAGGTTGTCATCAGAGGTCAGCCTTCTCAGAGGGGACGATGCCAACTGAACACTAGAGGGCGGTCTGGACCAGACTTCAAGCTCGTCCAGGGCTGCATGCAGCTGCCTCTGGATTTGGGAGGAAAGACTGTGCTGATACAGGACTTTTGAAGAAGTAGGTCACAGGAGCTGTAACTCCAGCAGAGCTCTTGCTGGCCACTGATCATCTTTACTCAACTCAAGAGGTCTTTGCTATCGCATCTTCCTGGCTACCTTGACCTGATTTCCCTGGAAAGATGGTGTTCCCCTCCCCCATTAGCACCCCATACCTCACACCCCGTCACATTATTTAAGGGCGAGTCCCAGCACCATTTCTCCCTACAATTTCCCTGGATGTCCTGATGGCACTGGGAGCTGCCACGGAAACACTGCTCGTCCTCACCTGGATTCCAATCACAGTGGATGTCAGATTCTTGGAATTGGGACTCACAGTTCTGTCAACATCTCTAGGTCCCTCAGCCCAGTGCTCTGCACAGGAACTTTCTCAGTAACTACCTGTCGGGCGATTGCTTCCTCTACAAAACCCCATGCTCCTTGAGGAACCAAACCAAACTCGCTGCCATCAAGTCGATGCTGGCTCATAGAGACCCCAGTGGGTTTCTGAGACTGTAACTGTTTAAGAGAGAAGAAGTCCAGTCCTTCTCTCTCAGAGCTGCTGGTGGTTTTGAACCACTGACCAGGCAGATCAGAAGTGGCATTGTCCCAAGCACTGGTCAATACGAGGAAACAGTTGAGTCGTACAAAGGAAGTTGCCCACAATGGCATCTCCACTTAACTACAGCAGTAAACACACAGCCTTCTAGTAAAACATAAACACAGGACTCAATGTGTTTGAGAGAACAGGAAGTCGCTCTTCTGATAATGAGCTTAGTTGGGCATGAGAAGCTCCCTTTGGTCCCCTTAAAAACAACTGTCAGAAAACCAGACTAAGTGGCTATGGCCTGCTGTCCGTGCTGCTGAGGGCAGCACCGGCTTTAAGCTGGCTGATTCTGTAGGTCAAACCCTTACCCCTTTCGCTGGACTCATCTGTAAAAGGAAAGAGAGGAGACGGCAGACTTGATGCTGTTTCTAGTCTTCATACGTGTCTTCAGTGAACCTATTTCTGACTAATGCTGTCCACTGTGGACTCTCTGTCTTGGGGCCTTAATGATACAACTTTTTACACGGGTGTTAATTTACGATTACCACAGGTAAAATAATAGTTCATTTGTAAATCTGACACGTGAAACAAATGTTGCACTGCCTACTAAAGGTCTTTGATTACCCCCACTAAGTAACACAGGCTGAAAAATCTGGCTGAACATTGGAATCAGCTGAATCGCTTATAAACTATGCAGGCACCTAGGATTCACCCCAGTGGCACTTCGGTATCAGAACCAGTATCTCTGGTATCTGATTCATTATCTATGGATAGGGCCCAGACAGCAAATACCGTAAATGATTCCAAGCCAACTAATCCTGGAACCAGTCCTGAGGAAGAACTGGCTGCCATGCTGCAGTCCAAAATTCCTAGCCTGGCACAAAGGACTTTCATCAAAATCCCAAGGTCTGACCTAGCATCTCTCACCAGGCTCAGGCCACATGCAACTTCATAGTGCTCTTTTTCTGTGTCCATTTCCTTTCCAGTGGCCTGCTTCGGCGCATGATGTTCTTTCCCCAGCGAACTCACAGCCTTCAAGTATCCTAGCATCACCAGCCTCCCCCCTATCCCAGCCCCCATGACTCCATGCCCAACCTCACTAAATTGCACCCACCCTCCCTGCAGCCCTCTGCTCAGGGCATGTGCCCATAGGCCTCGGAAAGACTGACCGTATGTTCTTCAAGGGCAGAACTGCCAGCCTCCTCTCTCTAACGGCTAGCTATTTGAACCAAACAAGAATTTACTTCAAAAGTACCTCTCTTAAAAGGCAACAACGTTGCTACTAGGGAGTCCATTCTGACTCAGCAAGTTCCCGTGTTCAAGGGAGGCCTGCACCGTGGTGTTTTCTGGATGCAACTCTTACCAGAGATCACCAGGCTTGCTCTGAGCTGCTGCGGCTTGAACTACCAGCCATTTGTTTACTTGCGGAGTGTAACCTATTTGTGCCACACAAGGATCTTTTTCAAATACCCTCCAAAAAAGTGCTCCAATATAGTTTTCCTAATATACAAATGCTTTCGTTGTGACTTTAGCTTACTGACAGAGGACGTGGGCATAACAATCCCAAGATCAGCCAGGAGTCCAAGTGCACATTAGTCAGAGGACGTCCCTGCTTGCACTCCTCGGTAGAAGCAGAAAAGCGATAAAGCATGCTACGGAAAGCTGCTCTCAACCAGCGGGAGAAAGATACATGTGCATTCCGTAGAGCAACCCCAGAACTGTGCGGTCTGCAACATCCTGTCCAGCTCGGGCTTAGAGCAGCATTCTCTGCTACAATAATGACGGGGAAAAGTCAGACTGGACGCAGCTTCCATCCCTGCAGGTTCAGCTTGGAAAGGTTCACTGGCCTCTCGTGACCTCCTCTTGGAAAAGGAAATTATCATTCTAACCCTGGCAGAAAGAGCACATATAGTAGACCAAGTGGGTATGCAGAGAAAAGCATGCATGCTGACCCATAACAGTGACTTCAACAACCAACACGCCTCCTAACGAACTGCTTCCATGAACCGCCCACCCTCCAAGCCTAACAGCAGAAGAAAGACCTGGCACTCGTCCCTTTCTGCTGTAAGCAGCCCACGGGAGGGCAGCATCTGGAGCTGAGAGGCAGAGAGGGCGTGAGGTAAGTATGTGCCACAGCAGTGGGAGAGATGGGGACGGCTGTATGCAAAAGGAATACATATGATCAGAAGGCAGTCTGCGATGAATGGAGAGCCCGTGAAGCCTACACGGAGGAGAAATAGGGCCTGGGCTGGACCACCAAGAGGGTGGAAACCTCACAGGGAAATGTATTTCTTCTTCTGATGAGCACGGCTGGTGCCAAGGCCTGCGTGCATGTGCTTGTCCTACGTATTGCTGGGTCCTTGATCAGTAACCCAGCAGCGACTCCCTTCCTCCAGCATTGCCCGTCGATACCCAGAGTCCGTTTTCAGCAGCTTTTCAGCCAACTACAAAGAACAACAGGTTATTCTAGCCAAGAGAATGCTGGCTTTCAATGAGCAAAACTGCAGTGCTAGTTTCTCTGTCATCACTGGCTTGGCCAGAAGCCAGGGCTGGGTGCTGCCTTTTCTCGCTTCACAAGGTGAAACAGACAGGTAGGGTGCATCTGCTGGGAATGGAGCAGAGCAAACAGCTTTGTGCTCAAGAAGGAGAAACACAGTGGGACTTCCTGCCACCCCCACCCCCCAACCCCACCCACGGCATG